TGTTTTTGGAGGTGATTTCAGACAAATTCTGCCTGTTGTTCTGGGTGGCAGTAGACAAAACATTGTTAATGCTTCTTTAAGTTCTTCGTATTTATGGCAACAATGCAAGTCCCATAAATTAACAAAAAACATGAGGCTAACTGTGTGGAAGCGATCCATCTGCTGTTGAGAAAATAAGGGTTTTTCAAACTGGCTTTTGGACATAGGAGAAGGTAATCTTGGTGGTCCGAATGATGTGGTGAAGCAATTGTTGATATTCCACAAGATATTCTTATTAATGATCCATGTGATTCTATAGGTTCATTAATCAAGTTTGTATATCCTTCAATTGTGGAAAAACTTCAACAATGCAGGTTATTTTCAGGAAGAGCAATACTTGCTCCCAAAAATGAAGTTGTCCAAGAAATAAATGACCGTTTGCTAAAATTGATTCCAGGAGATGAAAAAGAATATTTAAGTTCAGATAGCCTCTGCCAATCCGAGTTTGTTCATAATCAGTTTGATTGTAATTTATATTCACCTGATGTTTTAAATGGTCTTAAACTATCAGGTATGCCAAACCATAAGCTCATTTTAAAAGTCGGTTGTTCCAGTTATGCTATTGAGAAACATTGATCAGAAAAATTGTTTATGCAATGGCACTAGACTACAAGTCAAATCTTTGGGCAAACGTGTTATTGAGGCAGTCATCATATCTGGAAGTAATATTGGAAACATTACTTTATTCCAAGAATGTCTTTAACTCCTACTGAAGACAAGATCCCGTTTAAAATTCCAAAGAAGACAATTTCCATTGGCTGTATGTTTTGCAATGACAATTAATAAAAGCCAAGGACAGTCTTGTCGAAGGGTGGTCTGTTTCTCAAGAAACCTTTTACACATGGCCAATTGTACGTTGCTTTATCCAGAGTTCAAAGTCGAGAGAGGGATTAAAATTTTTAATTCTAGATAAGAATGGTAGACTAACAAATAAAACATCAAATGTTGTGTATAAAGAAGTTTTTAGATTTTTATAAATACTTGTACAAGTTTATTATTTATATCAAATTTGTTTCTTCTTTATTTAATTTTTATTTCAATTACACAAAAATTGATAATTTTCTACATATCTACAAACACAAACTGTCGATTGGATATCAAAACACTATACTTTCGTAATTTTAAAGAATCATTATATCATTATCAAATTACTTATGAAAAATATAATTTATTACGTATATAAAAATTATTTATAATTCCTTAATAATATATATTAGTTTAATTATATTTAATTTTTATTTTCTCTTCCGTGGTGTCCACGGGTTATAAACTAGTTATTATATAAAAGCCAAAAAGGAAATGTTTAAACAATTCACAAAAAGCCAGAAAGGTGTAGATAGACGAAAAAACTTTTACACTGGACTGGGCCAAAAATGACAAAGAAAAGTTTGAGAGAACACAGACTAACTGGGCTTTATGGTTACACAAGTTTATTTCTACAACGCCAAGCCCATTTTTACCTTAATCATAAATAATTGGAAAAAATTAAAAAATTAAAAAAAAAAAACAAAAAACAAAACAAAACAAATTCAGCCTAAGCTTCTATATTCTTTTTCATGAAATAACCAAAAAAAAGACCTGTATAGTTACACCTAATCTTTTAAATTATCTTTTTGAGAAATAACCAAAAAAATTAAAAATAACCTATACAGTCGCTAAAACCCAGGTGGACTCTTATAGTATATACTTTCATCATTTGGACTATAATTTTAAGATTAGATTTACTATTTAATTAAAAAACCAAATAAAATAAAAATCAAATTTTTGATGAAATCACAGATGATATCTGACCATCTATGATTTCTTATCATCCATCTCATCTGCGAGTTCTTCTCTTCATGTGAGATTATATAACATAATCTCATTTTGTAAAAACAAGGATAACTTTTTTTTTTTCTAAAAATCAAATGTGATCGGCTCATAAGTTCGGCCCATGATGAAATCACAGCTCATTAAGTAACATCTGCGATTTCAACGGCAATTTGAGTTGTTTTTGAAATTATTTTAGCTATATTTTAGAAAATAATTATATAGCAATACTAAATTTGTCTATTTATCTAAATAATATGATGTTGTCAAGTTTCATCCGTTCTATATAAATAAATGGACAATCATGATCACAAACGGCATGGCTTTTGAAAATAATGTATTTGGTGGATCATTCTATAAAAATAGCTTATTAGGCAATTTTGGAACATTATAGCACCACATTATTATATAAATTCAAAACCAGAAAAATTTAACTTGTAGAATAAAAGGAAGAGTAGACTACAATTTGTATTTTGGTCAAAAAAAAATATTTTCTATATTTTTAGATAAGTTCAGGTATTTTTTTTTCTTTTTTAATTTTTAAGGCTTGTAAAAGTGGTGTTGTGCTCACCCCAGTTCACCTCAACCTTTTCCACTTCCACCTCATTTTACCATCATGTTTGCAAGGAGGAGGAGAAACTTGGCATTTTCTAGCCGAGCTCGACTCTAGGCACACACCATGTGTAGCACCACACCGCATTGAGCCTAATGGATTTACTCGGTTACATATTTAATTGATACAAATAGAGGTTACGTTCTCTTATTTAATTGATACATAAGTAACATCTTAGTGGGAAAGAATTGTGTATGTATTTAGTTCTAAATTGCACTTCATTCCACAAAGTACGGTTGTCATCCTAAAAATCTTTAGGCAGCGTTTGGTACTTAGGACTGGATGAGACAGAACGGAACAAAAATGTTGAAGGTAGTGTTTGGCATAGATGGGACAATGACTAGATGGAAAAAGGACTTGGTCAAAATATTAGTCTCACTTAAAAGGGTGGAAGAAGGTTTGACAACTAAAACAAAGACTAAATCACCCCTAAATTCTATCCCTTCCTGCCATCTTCTCCTAGTCTCCTTCACCCTCACGCCTATTTTTCTATATCTTTTTACTCCTTGAATCAATTTACCTTTTTTTAATGTATTTTTTTAATTAATTGTTCCTATCGTTAATATCAAAATAAAATTGCGAATGAACTCATTTCTCTATATCTTTCTACTCTTTGAATCAATTAACCTTTTTTTAATGTATTTTTTTACTTAATTGTTCTTGTCGTTAATATCAAAGTAACAATGCGAATGAACTTGAATTATGTCTTTCTGAAATAAATGGCTTTAGCGCCTCACATGGAAAAAAGTATCTGATTTACAACCCTACGTCCTCTATGTGGAGTATGTCAATTTTTTTTTTAATCTTTTTATGGATTAGTTTTAAGTGGTCATTATTATTTATTACAATGAAATTTGATTATATTGAATATGTTACGAACATTGTTTCTAATAGAAACTTTGACGATCAAATTAATTTTTTTAAACGCACACGTAATTTGTTAGTAACGGAAGTTCTATTAGACTAACATAAAGGACAAGGTAGTAGTTTTAACGTTTCTTTTTTGTTCTGTTCCAGCCTTACCAAACGCCAAACGAACAGTTTTGTTCCATCCGGTCAAGTCCAGTCATATCTTGTACCAGTACCAAACGCTGCCTTATGGTTGTGTTCTCAGGCAAGGCAGATGCCATGTCACCGTTTTTTTTTTTTTTGGGGGGTTCTGATCGGAAATGAAACTACTGAATCTTTGTTAATGTTTTTGTTATTAGTCATTGATAAACGCTTTAAAAAAAGTTGTATGTTTGATATAAATCTATAAATATGGATTTTTCTGTTTCTTTGTCTATGTATTTAATTTGTTCAATATAACTCAAAATAATAGAAAACACATAAATTATAAGAATCTAAACTATATAAATGAATTTTTCAAAGAAAACAAACATTTTTTTTCAGTTTTTGAAAAATAATCATTTTTCTTCCGAATGTCATTCCAGATTATTGCTCGTACTCATGAGTTATTTTTTTTGCTTCAAAGAATGTTCCATTCCATGTTTTATCTTTCAAATTCCGTAGGTTTTTTTTTTTGGAAAAAAATATTTCAATTATGTCCGAAATGTTCATTCGAAATGTTATATATATATATATATATATATATATTATATATATATATATATATATATATATATATACATATATATATATATTCCCTCCGTTTCAAAATTATTGTCCACAGACAAAAAACAAACAGATTAAGAAAATATTAATTACCATTATATTTATTAAATAAAATGGCAATTGTACATTTTGTTGCATTTAATTCCATGATAGGTTAATTAATAATGAATGATATTTTGGTGAAAAATATGAATATTTTTTAAAATAGACTACTATTTTAAGACAAAAAAAAATGAAACATTGACTATTAATATGGATGGAGGGTATATAATATTATGCATTATATTATATACAGTTCACATTTATTATGTTTATTTAACTTTTTTGTTAGATTCAAATAAAAAATGATTTTTTTCTCAAAATTCCGGAATTGTTTATTGGATTTCGGACTTGCTCTTAAAACTCAAAAAAAAAAAATTTCAGTCCGGAATTCTTAAAGTCCGAAATGTACTTTTTTGTTAGAAAAAAAAATGTTTTGTGTTGGTCCAGACCAAATGATTAATTTTGCTAAATACAACTTTTTTTGCGCTATTTTTTTTCAAAAACACATTAATTGGGTTAATTACTTAATTTCCCTAAATTATATATAAAATTTCTTGTCTTAAGTCATCCCTTGTTTTATAGTACTATTTTTTTTATTATTAATTACATTATTATTTAGCAATGAACCCTCACCCCCACCTACAGGTGCACATGGCCCATCGGATTCATTTTTTATATTCGACTTCTATATAATTCGATTTAGCCATATGGATTTCACATAATTCTTACTGAATTTATCCAAATTTTGGTTGCAAATTATAGATTTTTTGTAGATAAAAATCTTGGGTAAAAAAATCCCCTCTCTGTATTCATTGCGTTTGTTTGAACTTTGATGACTTGATCCAACAAAAACCTTTGAACGATTAAGACGTTATAATCATTAAGCACCAAATGATACAGTTTTATCAAACATTCGTACTCTACTTCAATTATCCTCCATATACAACAAATCATAGACGATAATGTATTTTTGAAGAACAGTGAACAATACAGTATACTATAGATCAAAGAAATTATAGAATCATAGAGCTTCATACATTGACTTCAAAATTGTCCTGTATTACTCCATTGTAGTTAAAATTTAAGGTGATCAAGTTCATACCTCTAAGCTTTCTTTCTTCAAGATCACAAATTCAGAGGCATTTTCCAGCTTTGAGCTCCAAGATCATTCATAGTGAAATAAAATCCATTTATGCAGATTCACAGTTCAATTCAATCTATACAACATTTTAACACATGATCAAGAACAATTTCAATGTCCCTAAAAATACCATATTCAGCCACAAATTGATTACAATTTACATGTATATACAATTTTTGTGCACATTAATGAAAGTCAAAATACATACCTTGCAAATTAGCTGGTGATTCCATCGTTTTATACTTGACCCTGGTCTATGAATATGTGTAGATTTGAACATTGATTTGAATTGATGAATTTTTTTTGTAACCATTGTATTGAATAATGCCAACCCCTTACAACTTGTTGGGTATAAGAACTTTTTGGTGAAAAAATCATCAATCATAAAACTTACAAATATAATATAAAATAACAAAGCAAGATTTCAACTGGATTTCTAGGAGAAATGGCATCAAAAGATCATACCCAGTGGCCTCTTCTTGAAACTGTGTACGAAGAAAGCAGTGTAAGAAATTTAAGAGCGCTGGTGAAAGTGGAGATTTGTTCAACTTGAATTGAATCAATAGAAGAAGATTCAATCAGGCAATCACATCTATAATAGTGTCGATTGCTCAGTTTTAATCTCCAAAAGACGACGGAGATTCGTCGTCATCATCGTTGCCAGCAAACCTGGATCGATAATTAAACCATTTCCGATCATCCATTGTTACGCTTCACCACGATCTCCGATTCTATTTGATGGCCTGAAATATCCTAATGCAATAGCATCATCAATCTCCGTCCTCCTTTTACTGCTGGATTTTTCCGATGAACATGGTGTATCGTCCTGCAACGCATTCATTACATGCTTTTAGAATTTCGAAAACGGTTATCGAAAACAACACTTCGGTGATGATAAAGTGAAAGAGAAAGAGAAAGGCTGAAAGGCGAACCTCAGAATCGATACAAGGATCCAGGCGTTCTCGTTTAGATGCGGATCTAAAACCATCAGATGAGAGTCTACTTGAAGAAAATTCCTCACTGCTCGAAGAACCGGTGGCCGGTGGCGACGCGGCTGACGACAACGGAACCACCTGATTCTCTGCATCTTCATCTTCATCTTCATCCTCATCCTCATCTTCACTCTCATCGCTTGATTCTGTATCGTCGTCGTCTGTATCTCCGTCTTCATCCTCATCATGTACATCACAATTCTCCTCTACGACATCGTTTCCACGGAGACTAGTATCACCTTCCTGCAACACTCGCCGTTGAGATGGATGTTCGTCAAGACAGTTAACACATACGGAGGCTGTGCGACCGAGATTTACGCCGGAAGCGTTCCAGGGAGTCGGAGATTGACATTTATGGCAGAGGAGAGTTCGGGAGTGTTTGGCTACTAGAAAATTGGCCGAGTGAACGTTTTGATCGCAGTCGTAACAGAGGCTAGCGTTATCGGATTGGCAGTACATCCGAGCAAAGTGGCTGCACAGCTCACACCTCTTCATTCCGGTACCGGAGTTTTGTTTTTCCGGCGAAATTCCAATTACTTTATAAGACCACCGTATCCAAATATTCTCCGGGTTTATATTTCTATCACATTTTTAAAAGGAGGGGTAGATGTGCATCGGTCTGGGGAAATATAGAATTTAATAAAGACTATTAAAACTAAAAAATGATAGAAAATATAAATATAAATCTATTTAATACTACATAATTGGACCAAATGATTATTATATTATTTTATTGTAAATTGTAATGTAATTACTAGTCATATCAGTGATCAGTCGTGTGTTATGGATATGTACATCTAAATATTTTGTTCAAGAGGATATTAGATATATGTGTTAAAACTATGGTTTCGTTCAAGAGGATATTAGATATATGTGTTAAAAATATGGAAAACAAACGATTAAAGTCGCTATAAATAGGTTTTATAGTTTTGGAATACTATAAAATGCGTGTTTGGCAAAAGTAGTTGTTAGCTGGAAGCGGTTAACGGGTAGCGGGTAGTTGGTAGCGGGAAACTGTAGTTTTTATTTGTTTTATAAGTGTTTGACAAAAGTAGCTGGAGGCTTTTGAAATATATAAAATTACATAAAAGGATAATTGATTAAAAATAAATATATACATAAATAGATTTTTAAGGATATTTATGGAAATTGATTTCAAAAGCTAATAGCGTTTTGTTAAACGAACTAAAATCTAAACGTTCGTACTACCAAACGAAGTTTTTTATTTAAACTAGAACGTTTTGTCAAAACTTAAAAGCTAGAAGCTCCCAAACGCTTTCAAAAGTTCTGTGCCAAACACACCCAATGTCACATTTCGTAAAACCATTGTAATGTGAAATTATTTTGGTTTAATATTAAAAAAAATCAAATTTTCAATGTTTAAACCCCCCAAAAAAAAAAAAAATTGTTCCACTGTCTATTGAAAATCATTGGATATTAAGTTGTATCACAAATCCTAATTATGTTTTATTTGTTTAAGAAAACTCAATAAATTTAATATTTTGTCTAAAAAAACTCAACTAACTTACGCTTTTGTTCAATTCTCATTATGGTCAATCGGGTATTGAAAGTCAATGGATGACATGGAATTAAAGGAAAATGACTCGTAAGCTAAACGAAGTTTCAAAACGTTCAAAAACTTCAATCATGTTTTGTCTGTTCAAAAAAACCCAACGGACTTAACATTTTGTTCAAAAAAACTCAACAAACTTACGATTTTGTTCAGTTCTCATTAGAGACAACCAGATTCATTAGGTATACAATTAGTTGGCAAATGACATGACATTATATTCAATGGCATGGAATAAACATATTAGAATTACCCTTTATATATCGATTTAGGGCTTGGAGAAGAGAAAAATAAATGGCGTCTGTACTCGATCTCTTGTAATGGTTACTTCTTCATCCTCTCAATCGTTGATGTCCAACTCGAGATCTATAAAGAAGATATTTGATGATGCAAACCCTTATGGATATGGACGCCCTTCTTGGATTTAGACATTTAGAACGGAGGATCATCTAGAGAAAAAGTTTATTGCTTCTTCGAACAGATGGATAAGGGTAATTGAAAGATTTGTCATGTCCAGCTTCTATCTATCTGAACCAAACAGATAGATAGAAGATGAACATGATATATTTTTCAATTTTTATTTTTTAAGGAACCAATCAAAAAACTTATATAAAATGTATAAAGGCATATGAGTTTTTGAATAGACAAACTTAATTCTATAACCCATATGTCTTTATATATTTCGTATAAGTTTTCTGATTTTTTATACGATTAAGTTACTTAATTTATTGAAACATTAAAAAATTAAAAAACCATGTATTTTTTCAAGTTTTGATTGGTAACTCGATGTTGAGTTTTTTAATAACAAAATTCAAACACCTTAAGATAAAGGGATAATGACTTAAAAGGGTAACATATTTTTCAGTTTGTACACATTTAGTCACTAATGTTTTTTTTTGTCCACATTTTCCCATTGAATTTGTTCAACTGTTCAAATAACATCCTTATGACTTGCTATCGGAGGTTAAACCGGTTTCCGGCATATTTGCCACCTCCGACGACACTCCGGTCATCTTCTCCGGTGAGTCTCCAACCATAAATCTAAAATAATTTAATTTTTTATTTTTTGATCAACAACACACACAATACTTCATCTCCAAACCAGAAATCTAAACCAAACATGAACTCAAGAACATAAATCGAAAAATCTAATGAAGAACATAAAGAAAAACCCAGAAATCAAAGTTGTGTTCTTGAACAGAAATGGAAAATCGAAGTTAACGAAGAACACGAACTCAATAACATGAACTTCGGTGTCTTCATATCGTGATTCATCTTGAAGATCAAACACCTTACACTTAAATATCATTTTTAGAGAGAGAAATAATGATATATGTTCTTGAGTTTGAGCTGGTTCAAAGGATAATGCATCGACGAACTTGTACATTGTGTTGCATTGTTTGTACTTTCTTGACTTCCAAGAACAGAGAAGATAAACACGATGAACAAAAGATCTGGAACAACACTCCGATGATTTTTGGGTTTGAAAACCCTAACTCGAGTTCATCTTAAAGCTCATCGGACCTTCAAGAACACAAACAAAAAAGATTTATTCCGGTTTTCAGATCTGATGAACAACAAGAACACAAATATGATGAAGAACACGAACACAAACCCAAAAGTCATCTTCATCTGTTCAAGAACATACAAACACTCATGATTCTCGATTTCTTATATGAACTTGATTTCAGATTCGAGTTCAGTGTGTTCTTGAACAAAAATGGAAACATGATTTTCGAGCTTCAAACTTTTCACATGAACACTTTTAGATTCGAGTTCAGTGTGTTCTTGAACAAAAATGGAAACTTGATTTCAAACTATAACTCAAAAACATAACTTCGATTGAAGATCTTTTGATTTATGGGAAGAAGATGAACACACACACATCGATGAACTCGTTTTTTCTGATCTGGGTTGAAGTGGTTGAAGGATTTATGGGTTTATGATTTTTGGGTCGAAGGGTTTGAAGGGATGAACATGATTGTGTATGTGTTTTCTGATCTAACAAATCCACACATACACACCGATTGAAGGGTTGGATAATTTTTGTTTAGATCTAACAAACACACACACACTCACACGCAAATCTAAAAACATTTTGATGAACTCATTTTTCAGATCTAGTTGTTCTTGAAGATGTTCAATTTGGGTTGAAGGGATTGAAGAATTTCTTGAGGAAAACACATGAATCTATGTGTTTTTTGTTTATGTATGTGTTTTTTTGGTGTTTTTGGTCGGAAACTCGCCGGAAAAGATGACCGGAGTCTCACCGGAGCTCACAAGAACGCCGGAAACCAGCTATACCTCCAATAGTAGGTCATAAGGATGTTTTTTGAACAGCTTAACAAGTTCAATGGGAAAATTTGGACAAAAAAAAAGTCAACGACTAAATGTGTACAAACCTAAAAATATGTTACCATTTTAAGTCATTATCTCTAAGATAAATAGTTTCTTCCTTTCAAGAAAAAATTAATAATAAAGATAAAGAGCTTCTACATATTTTTGTTTATTCTTTTGGAAAGTGAAGTATTAAACAAAAGAAAAAACATGGTTGGGGACAGGAGTGGTTTGGTGGGTGGTTTATATTAGCCGGCCGATCATGAAATTTTGCTTTCAAATTGTTGGTCTTATTACATGGCCATCTCTCGTCCACTAAAACCAATAAGCCATGTGATTCCCACACCCTTCAAATATATATATATATTATATATATATATATATATATATATATATATATTATATATATATATATATATATATATAATATATATATATAATGAGGGTTCAATTGAGAAAAAAAGGTTGAGAATGGGGAACCATTCTCAGCCAATCATTTAATGAGCTTAAAAAACGCACGGTGGCAAACTTGTAAATAATCCAAATACATTAATGAGCGGTGGCAAATTTGTAAATAATCCAAAAACATTAAACCGTCAGGGCACTTGAGTAATTTGATAACACGTCAAATCTCGACAGAAAAGCACCATTTCCCTCTTCGATACACCATAACACGAAAACCATTTGCAGAAGAATCGATAAGAAGAAAACCATTTGCAGAAGCATCAAATAACATAAACGAAGAAAAATGTCTTCCGATGAAAACATTAACGAGACCATTTCCTCACTCTTGACAATGAAAGGTAACCATCGGCGTTTTTTCTCGAGTTTTTAACGATTTCGAATCATTTCTAAAATTATCACTTGATTACTTGAAATTTCTCGTAATCTTCGATAATTATTAGTTGATTTAGAACTAAAAACATTGTTTTCACACTGTTCATTCTTCAAAAAAGGTTGTTTACTTCAATTTTTTATGATACTCGTTCATTCTCGTAACCCTCCTTCGTTATTACTTTATTTACTTGAAATTTTTGTAAGAATCATCCATTATTATTTGATATATAAATGATTTTACATCATCTCTTCATTTTTCATCTTTATTCAAAACTATTCTGTCAAAATACAAACGTTACTTAACATTTCGCTTATGTTTTCCTAATATTAACTACTTACCCTTACAGAAACAACACCAACAGTGAAGAATACATATAAACGAAAACCAAGAACAAATCAAAAAGGTAAATAAAATATGTTTTGTTTACTTCTGAACACAAGCAAAACTAATATTCATTCGTGAATATGTATGTTATATTCACATATGAATAGAACATAGCTTGCTGCCATACATACATTATTTATATGTGAATACAACAAGAATCACTTACATATGTTCTATTCATATATGAATATAACAAAACATATTCATATGTGAATAAAAAAATATGAATACATATGTTTTATTCAAATATTCATTCGTGAATATGTATGTTATATTCACATATGAATAGAACATAGCTTGCTGACATATATACATTATTTATATGTGAATACAACAAGAACACTTACATATGTTCTATTCACATATGAATATAACAAAACATATTCATATGTGAATAAAAAAATATGAATACATATGTTTTATTCAAATATTCATTCGTGAATATGTATGTTATATTCACATATGAATAGAACATAGCTTGCTGCCATACATACATTATT